ATTCCTGGTAATGTCTCTCTTCTATTTCATAACCCTGCAGACCATTTTTAGATCTAGCTAAAAACCTTCACTCAACAATGGTAATATTAATTCAGGTGTGGAAATGACTGACAATGAAATATTGATGCATTGTCAAGAGACTCAAGAAGGCTAGATTTTGTTTTATAAATCTAGATAACAGAGTACATATAACAATAAGGAATACAGCACTAATAATCTTTTGACTATTTTTAGCCTAGGTTGTTGTGTTTTCTAAACTTGATATATATATGCCACGTCTATGCAAGATGATGACCGCACAGTCATTACTATGCAGTCATTTAGTACTTGTACAAACAGGTATTAAATGAATGTGCAGTAATCAGGTTTACTGTGCAGTCACACCAAGGAACAGCAGTTTTGTGAAGCTGACTGCGCAGTATCTTATGACTACTGTGCCGTAGCGTCACATCATGCTTCCTGCCATGCAATGCTACGGCATGGTAGTCATGGGATACTGCACAGCCAGCATCTCATGTAGACGTGCCAATAATCTAGCAAGTTAGTGCACATTCCAATAAAGTTATATTTGTTTTGGCTTTGATTTAAAGCAGCACTAGGCCGCTAGCATATTAGTAAAGCTTCTAGTTTCTCATTAACTGGAGAAAAATATGTTGCATTATACATGATGATGTGCCACACCACTTGTACCTCCCTTTTCAAAATCCTAGATCCACCCATGCTGGAGACACATCTGGAAAGAGTTGCTGGAGAACTGTGAATGCAGTGAGGAGAAGATGAGAGGTGGAGTTGGCAGGAAATCTCTCTGGTGTAACAACCTGCAGGTTCCTGCAGGTTGGAACACAAGTTGTAGTGGGGATGATTTGGAGGGTGACACCAGAAAGCTCCATGCCCTTGGAAAATTTTGCACTAGCTCCAAGCACACATTGCACCTCATGGCTGCAAACAGCAGCTTGGATAAAGATCCAATTTTTTGCGGTCCAAATGAAGTGCCTTTATTGCTGTGCAGAGCTCTGTGCATGAAACATCTGGGAAGCAGCAGGTTTTCTGGTAGCAAGTGGAGAAGGGGAGGTGAGAGAAGAGAGGTTTGAGATGAGCAAGCAAGGGCACAACTCCAAAAAACTCTGTCCTGTACTTCACAAGAAAAAGAAAAGAGTTTCCAAGAGCAGAGCCTGCCACTACACTGTAAAAGCTGGTCTGATGACAAAACTAAGGGAAACGTTATGCTAGGAAGAATGTTCATGTTATTACATGGATCCACAAAGACATCGCTTCAAAAACAGCCTTCAAACACAAGTGCAACTTCCTGCACATTATCATCAAAAAGATCTAGCAAGTTGACCACTTTCTATTGTTATACCACAGGGACGGGCAATTATTTTGGGCCGAGGGCCACGTACTAAGTTTTGGCAAGCCATCAAAGGCCACATGATAGGCAGCCAGGGGCAGATAAATATTAATTTTCTAAATTTTTAGGGGCCCTGCAAGCCAGATAGAATGGCCTGGCAGGCCGCATCCAGCCCCCGGGCTGCATTTTGCCCACCTCTGTTATATCACCCTGAAGGTTTAAAGGGAAAGACTTGTTAAAAGTGGGTTTCCCAAACTGCATTCCTAACTACACCTGAGATCAGTAACATTATACTGTGTCACATTCTCAGCTGCTTACTCCCATTTACCCTGCCTGTTCCATCTTTCCAACATCAGTCATCTTGGCTATCAGGGCTAATGTGGTCATTATCTCACTGGAGTCCATGGCCAGATTACACCAGCTGAAGGTATAGACCCCTGTTTCTAATCAGCTTCCCCCTTGGGGTTCCTGTACCAGCACAATCCTTTTCCTTTTGCTTTCACAAAGCTGTGAAGGAAGACTGGATTTAAAAAAACTGTAAGAGAAACACACTGATATTTTTCAGTGAAAAGCTTACACAGAGTTTTTCACTGAAAAATGGTTCTGATAAAACGGTAAGTTGGAAGTCAGAAAAAGTCAAATAGGAAATATGGCAAATATTTTATCATGGAGGATAATTAAGCACTGGAATAGGTTTCCAAGGGATGTGGTAAGTTTCCCATCACTTGAAGAATCTTTAAATCAAGACTATGTTTCTAAAAGATATGCTCCAGGTGAACCATTAGTTTCCAGGTTTGATGCGGTAGTTGCTGGGTGAAATTCTATGGCCCATGGTTTGCAGGAAATCAGACTCAATGGCCACAATGATCCCATTTGGAGTTAACATCTGTGAAACTTTATTATAATTAGATGGGTCAGAACCGAAACACTGGATCCAAGCACCTACCAACTTTGGGAGAAGTTCAGATCAGAATCCATGTCCCAACTCCACACCTCTCAAGGCCCATTACTAACTCCTGGAGATAATGAAGCTTTGCAACAGGCCTATGTGTTGCTTAAGGGACCATAGGCCAATGCCCACTAAGAAACTCTGTAAGTCTCCCTTAGAAGGGAAGCCACTGGGCAAGAAACAACTGATTCCTTGGGACAAATCAAAATATAACCTAGACAGGAGTGAGGTCATAGGTTTAATGAGTGCACCAAGGGGAGGGCACTCAGCAAACCACACTGGACAGTGCCCACTGGCCCATGAATGAGTCCAAGGAGCCAGTGGACACTACCCAGTGAAACTCTGCCTGGAGACAGGATTGGGGAAGGGACAGAAAAGCCCCACAGTCCCTGGGGGTCCTCCCGGCCAGAACCTCCTTCCTGGTGAGATAGATGGCTAGCCTAGCTTGGCTAGGGCCAGGAGGAGGTTGACCAGAAGGTCCTGGAACTGTGTGGGGCTACAGATGGGGAGTGCACAAATAACAGAAGAACAGTGAGAAGAACAGTGCAGCCAGAACCTCAACAAGAGGGTCTGAAGGAGGTAGTGAAGGGGCTGTAGCCTGGTGCACTCAAGGTAGGTGTGAGCCAGGGTCTCCCTCTGCTCACAGGAGAGACAGGTGTTGGAGGTGTCTGTGAAGCACACCAGATACATGCCCATGGCAACAGGTCTGCGAAGGAGCCTTCAGCTGAGATTCCCTGGTGGATAATGGTATCGAGATGGAATACAGACTTGTCCACCAGGGACCCTAGTCCTTGCTGAGCATGTCCTACCACTTGATGTCCAGGTGGGATGTGAGGATGGGATAGTGGAAAGTGCCGACTACAACCGTGTAGAGCTGGCCATGATGGGTGGCTCATAAATGGACCAACTTGTTATCCCCCATCCTGCATAAAGGTTTTGGGTTTCATCATCAGTTTAGCTGGGCTGCCTGGGAGCCACGAAGTTTAGAGGCATTTCCATGGCATAAACCTAGTGTCTGTGAGTGGCAGATTAGGCTGGTTTGGTTTAGTTTTAGGATGCAACCTTCTTAACAGGACTGCTTTGAAAATAACTTTCTATCTTGTGTGGAATGTTATACTTACACGGTCACTTTTCCATCTCCACAATAAGGAGCACCATGAATGTGGATTAATGGTGGTGAGGGCTCTCCCACGGCTGTCCCGGCCACCCCCTGGATCTGGTAGCGGTACAGTTCACCTGGTGTGACTTCCCTGCAGAAACACAGAGGAATCCAACAAACTGTGAAAGACAGCAATAGCTTTAAGCAAGACATATGTCTATATGTAGCTATTTACAACAGATTCATGAGAGACACTGGGGCTGGCTTTAGATCCTGGGACTCGCATGCTCTGTACAAAGGCAGAATGGAAAGATAACAGCCCTGTGGAAGCTGCACAACCAGGTGGGAAACCAGGGGACATGTATACATTAGAGATCCTCTTCCACTGTAGCTGTGCCAGCACAGCTGTATGAATAGAGTCCCTTACTAGAGTCACAGCACTTGTCAGTTGTAGAGGTTTTGCTACTGGCATGGTTACGCCACTTCCTCAAATGAGAGAAGCTAATCTGGCAGAAGCCCTCTTTTATGGGCACAGCTGCATCTGTACCTGAACTTTTGCCAGCTTACGATGTCAATGAGGCTGTGAGAGCTTTTCACAGTCCTCATTGATCTAGTGTACACCTGGCCAAAGGTGAAGTTTTCGACTCATTTGCTCCCTTCCCAGAGCTGCTGACGAAGAGATGTTAGCTTGTTTCCTCACAGCAGATGATTTGGGAGCTCTGTAAAAAGGTTTCATATAGGATTTTCAGTAGTGCTTAGTACTGGCCTAATTATGCACCCAGTAATGTCAGTAATGAAACTCCCCATGAGCTCACAATGGGTGCAGCATTCAATGAATGCTGCAGTCTTTTTAAAACCCACACTGAATATCCTTCCACCCACTCTCAACACCCTTCCACTCTATCTGTGTGTAGCAGAGGGCACTAGGAACGTGACAAAGAATACCCTGCAAAACTAATGGATACAGTTTTTAAAACCACCAAAGAACCACTGACTTTTAAAGGGAATTAGATTTCTAAGTGCCTAAGTGACTTTTGATATAGGTACTTTGGCTCTTAAATTGCTCGGGTGCTTTTGAAGTATTTACCCAATGGCTAGATCACTAGCCAAGGAAGCAGAATACTGAGAAAGGGAAACAGGTAAAAGGTAAAGTGGTATGGGTGGGAGTGAAGAAAGAGCATCAGGAGTGGGAGAGCTGGTCCTTAGTGCCTTACTGAAGTTTGCCTTGCCGGCCACCATTGTTGTCGTAGTCACTTAACTGCAGATTCAGATCTGGATTCAATTCAAATCTGGATCTAATTTCTGAATTCCCTCAAAAGTTTAGGGTACCGGGAATGAGACTTTTGATTTGGCCCATTATGATGACAGCTTGGCAAATTCCAATCTAGATTCTAATTTCCAACATACCCAAAGTCTAGCACTATTTAGGTCTGTGATGGGTTGTGGCCCATCTCTAGTATTATAAAAGTTTCAATAAAACATTCAGCATGACAGTAGTCTAGCTGAACCAAGAGTTTTGGGGTTTGTTGCAGGAGTCATTATCTGATTTGTATGGTGCAGAAAGTCAGATAATGAGGTCTAAAGGCTCTTTTTGTATTGGGATACAAGCTTTAGGAATATCTGACAGTGCAGTCTGTGTACAAACACACAAACAAAAATACAGATATGCCTACCCCCCATTCTAAACTACCATCAGCAGAAATTATAAGGGGAAGGTCTTTGCCAGGTAATACAGAAATGCCTGTCGCTTTTCTCTCAGACCATCTCATGGCATTGCCTCTTGCTCTTTATGACGTGTACATTCATTACACAACTGGGAAATGCCTCAAAGGTAAGGGGTTCCTTCCAGTTGGCTCATCTTCTTGATGAGTATTTAGTTACATGAAACTGCTATATGCACTTGGGTGTCTTAGTGCAAACTCTGGTGATAGGTACAGAGTCCACTTGTGAGATCAAACATTTCAATCCTAAAATGACCAATGAATCTAAAAGGACAGCAGTCAGAACTAGAACCCCCATAAACGACATAGCCTCTGATGAATCAACCTTGCTACTCACGTGTCAGTGAACTTTCGGTGCATCTGTATCCCTGCAATGGGGGACCCATTAGCAAATGGTGGGTCCCGGAGGACCCGGTACCGTATAGGCTTGCAGTTGGAGCAAAGAGGGCTCTGAGGCATGGAGGTTAAGAGAGCAGCATCTATCTCCATTCTTTCATCAAAGGTATAGACCTTTACCCCAGATACCTTCTTGTTGATGTTGAGCTTAATGGTAAGAGGGATGTCACAGAAGGTGTCCAGGGGTCCCAAGGGGATGGATTCCCCATGCTCCGTCAAGATTTCAATGTTGGAGAGAGCCTTGGGCGAGTCCGTTGAGAGGTATGTGGTCCAGAGCATAAGTGAATCTGGGTAAACAGGATGCAGGAAATGCAGCTCCAGGATACAGCCATAAGGCTGAGGGCAAGGGACAGTCATGTTCATATGATATAGGTGGAGCTCTGGGCTCCAGGCTTGCAAGCTGGGCTCACAGGGCTGATCCACATCTGGAGGCCCTAGACACAGGAAAAATAAGGATCCCTATAAGGAGCAGGGTATCTTACTTCAGAGTTATGATCCTCTATAGGTACATGCATCCTATCACTAGTCACCTGTGCAGGTGCATGCATGCACACAAACATGCATCTTGTTGCAGATACAAACCACATAACTTACTGCTGTATGTACACACATGCACATATATGTGTGCATACATACCACACACAAATAATACCACAGCGGACAAACACATATTGGAGCATGCAAATGTTTGACACACTTGGTTATCTATACACAAATCCTGAGATCCTGGCAGGCAGGAAGATACAAAGATCCTATAAGCATGCACACACACACAGATTTATGCACACCTGCTTGTACCAAACATGTTGTGCAAACATGTTTGCATCAATATGATAATTCAGGCAAGAACACACATACTATACACAGCAGTGTACACACAATACCACATTTACACAGATGTGCATTTTGATAGAACCATAGACATATCTGTATATACAGACAGACACATGCTTACTATAATCACAAATACAGGCCAAAACACACATGCTTAGAAACATATATTGACATATGCTGCCACAAATACATAGTGTACACAGTAATGCAAATAACAGAAGACCTCCACATCTCCAGACATCTCCCCATGCTCAGCTACTGTCTGGAGGCCCACAGACACACTTGTGCATACAGACACAAATGAACACATGCACTGCCCCAGGAGGACTCTGTGGCTGATCTCATGCCACAAGCAGTTCTAACTGTACACCTGGGATGGGGAGAAAAAGCATCTTAAGTTCTTTGTGAGCAACCCATGCCCACTTTCAGCATGAGGGTCCATGCTGAGCATCCCTCTCATTCACAGAAGTAAAGGAAGCCAATTTTCAGGTATATGCCATTCAAGTGCTCACATCTGAGACAAGCTATAAGTGTAGACAGATGAACAGTTATAACACTTTACAGCTACTTTGCTGTAACTGTTTTGCCTGCCATCTCTAAGGCATTCAAAGTAGGAGCTAAACCATTATAACTTTAAACCTGTTTTATTCAGCTCCCCTACAATTTATTTGGCTCTTCTCTTTTGGTACTATAATTTATTTGGCTCCATTATTTCAGTACATGAGTGGACAGAGACAGCAATTTCACTGGTTCAACAGTCATGCAATCTATAGCAGCAAGATGCCCCCTGCCTTTTAAAATGGTTTAGTGTTATGTCTGCACAGAATCCATGGGAGATGCATGGGTGTGTGCCTGTTTGGTAGAGGGCAGGGGAGTACACATACGCTCTGACCACTTTCAGGATGGAGGAGCCCAGGCAGGCTTGCAACTACGGATCTCAGTTCTTAGCTAACAAGATTTCCTGAAGGTCAAAGGGATTAGGGTGCAGTAGTGAGACCCAGTGCTCATCCAAAGCTAAACAATGCTGAAGGAACTTTGCTACAGGGCACCTTGAGACTCTTCTCTCACAGGGAAATCCTCAGTTTGGGGAATTCTAGACTAGTTCAAGCAAGTAGGGATGGCCATTGCATGCTGTGCTCCAATTATCCCAGGCCAGCATAAGTGTCCCCAGTGCACTGTTCCCTTTAGGAGTACACACTAGTGGTGTCTACCCTGTCAACAGAATCACAGCTCCCTCCTGCATGAGTTCAGAACAGCCAACAAGGAAAACCAATACTGACAGACTTCAGAGCAGTGAAAATGTAATGTCCATTTTCAGCCTCACGGCCTCTTGGCTGAAAACACCCCCATCTTCTGCAAAGGCCACAAGCATTTGTAAGATTTGGTGCCAATGCATCCACTTGTCGCTAGCTCCATGAAAACTATGATCTGAGCAGAAGTACCTCTCTCACCAAAGCCAACGTGCACATGTGTATACTGCACACAGGTGCAAAGACGAGATTGGTATTCATCACTAAGGACAAAAAAATCAGTTCAAGTCAGTAAGGGGAAAAAGTCCTTCTTCTAACAGTGGGAAAGTAAAAATGCAGAGGGGAGTGAGTCAGACTTTGGGCTTTCAATCTAACTGGGACAAACCTGATTTTCTTTTCTTTTTTTGTTTTTGTCCATTTCTTCTGATGGTGAGAAACAATTCCATCCAGCCCCAACTAGAGCTGAAGTCTCTTGACAACAGCCACAAGCAAAATCATGAAACACCTCTTCTCAGTACAAGGGCCTTGTGAGTATCAGCTTGCAGTAAAATCTAAGCTGTGACTTGTTTCTAAGGCAACACCTGGGACTCCATAACGATAAGCCATACCAAGGTACTTTCTAATTGACCTAATTGACTCAAGCCTTTGAAGCTGGATTGACCTATAAGATCATCTAGGACAGTAGTTCTCAAGAGGGGTGCTGTGGCACTCCAAGATGCCAAGGGAGCCTTTCAGGGATGCCAGTGTGGGAGCCACCACTGCTTCTGCAACCAAGTGAAACTACCCCATGCACCTCATGTGGAGCTAGACTGGGAAGGGCTGGGGCAAGAGTGTGTGGTCCTGCCTGCATTAGGGTTATCTGATAAACCTAAAGCAGGCAGAAGCACCCACTCTGCCACAACCCTTTCCAGCATGACCCTGCATGCTCCTCCACAAAACAGAGGTGTTGTCCCATGGGGCAGTTCCTCTTGGTTGTGGTGGCAGCCTGGTTAAGAAGCACCGAGGCAGCACAATAAGGGTTCTCAACCAGAGAGGTGCTAAATACAAAAAAGTTATGGAGGGGTGCCCCAACTCCAAAAAGGCTGAGAACCACTGATCTAGGCATCGCAACTGTTCCCATTCACTGGTATCTCCAGTTAACATCCTGAGCAAAGAAAACTGACTTCCAAAACATCTAGAGAAGTTGCAGTCAGAGCTGTAACTTCCTTGTGTTAAGTGAAAGAGAAAAGACAAAGCACTTTACCTACTGCCTCCTCTGGGGTCCAGTAGCCGGAGGAGTCACAGACCCGAGGGGAAGAGGCCTCATGTACATACTGGCTGAAAGTCCCATCTTCAGCGCAGTCTCCACAGAGGGTGCCAGGCTCTCTAAAGAGCAGTGAGAGAAAAATGAAAGACACATCCATTTACAGTCTGGATTCTCCTCCATTCATCCCCATCTTGGGATGACTGGATGAGTTGTGGGAACCCCAAAGAAGTCAGCCTCCAGTCAGCCACTTGACCTGCATGTGCTTAAAGTAACCCCTGGAAAAAGCTAGAGAGATAGAGTGGACTTGCAGCAACCTGGCTTTGACTCCAGTCATGTCACAAGTTCCTTGTAGGACCCTGGACAAGGCACGAAACATTCTTTGCCTCTGTTCCTCATCTGTACAATGGAGATGATAGTATCCCTTGGCTTGGCTTGTTAATTTGGGCTCCACGCTGTTTGAGATAGGACCGGTCTCATTGTGTGTGTGTGTGTGTGTGTGTGTGTGTGTGTGTGTGTATGGGACCCAGCACAAAGGATCTCAATTCTGACTTCTTGGGATCACCATAATAAAAATAAATAATGATATTAACCACCAGGGGCAGCATTAATCTCACCAGTAGAGAGAGAGAGAGTACTCCCTGCTTTAAGGAGTCTGTAAAATATTCCCTTTGATTGGTATGGATGGGTCTGTAGCACTGGCAATGAACCTAACTGGATTTAAGATGGAGTGTGGTGAGTTAAATGAAAGGGGTTACATGACATGATTGCCTGTGATGAGCAGAGTACCAGACTTGGTGGCCCAGCAGGTCCCTTCCTGTCCTATGTTTCTACTTTCATATCTTTTTCAATCTTAAGCTTAGTCATTTCCTATCAGAGCCATTCTTTTGATTACCCAAGCCCATCTAGTAGCTCAAAGTAGCCCAGGTTAGGGGATATACACTTTTAGGAGCACTGACAAAGCATTGTGTATATACCATTTGGTGCAGCATATGACTGATTACAGTATCCTGTGATTGTCCAGGAAGTCCTCAGCCACTGATTTTCTTTGACTTGGAAGGGAACAGATTTGTAAAATAGCTTTAGAGGGATGTGCAATTTCATTCATATTTGGAAAAGGCTTTCATTTGGTAGTTGTTAGAGAAATGCAAAGTATTATTCTTATTCTTTTCCAAACATCTTATGGGTGCATACCCATTGCAAATCACAGCTTCCACAAGTAGAGAATATCCATAAGGATTTATTCAAGCAAATATATAAGCATGTGCTGTGGTGCACCCCATTCACTTAAACACTTGAATTTGTGCTTAACTTTAAGTAGGTACCTAAGACCCATCAAAGTTGATGGGATTTAAGTAGCACATGCATGAAATTAAGCAGTTGTGGAAGCAGTTCACTGAACAGGCATGGACTGCTGAAGCAGGGCGTTAGCTAGAGTCACTCATGCTTTTACAAGCATTTGCCTAGCTATTAATAATCAGAAGACTACATACAGCTACGTCCAAAGTTCATGAGAATCAGTGGGAATCTTTTCACTGACTTTACTGGGCTGTGGATTAGGCCCCATAGTTTAATATACAGTGGGAATGTCTATATAAGATGCTAAGGTGACATAGCAATGTGATGCAGTGTCGGCAGTCACAAACCGTGACACCGCAGCTACATCACTGTAGCAAGCACTCCCTCAGTATAGTGCACCTGCTATGGTGACACAGTGGCAAAAAAAACCCTGTGTGCTGCTGGCATGGTGCAGTGAGGGCTGTTACTGCGCTGTCATTTAGTGCTTCCTAAATGGCAGCACAGTAACAAAGGTGCCATAGGAACACGTGCAGACGTGCCCAGTGTTAAATATGCAGGAACTCAAAAGCAGATGGATGTTCATTTGATATGGTCCAGATTCATAAACACAGGCACCTAATTTCAGGGCCCCAATCTATACTTAGGCACTAATAAATATGAGCAGCCTAATTGTTCAAGCAGCAGCCACAAGGTAAGATGAATGGGATTTGTGGGTGTCCGGCTTTTTGTTGGTTGCCAGGCTAGGCATTTGGGGGCATTTTTACACATACATTTGTCTGCTCTGACACACCGGAAATCCAGTGCATTGGAGCAGACTTGATTAATCGAGCCTGTGGAGGATGCATTTGTATAAATGATGAAATGCACGTCAGTGCCAAGAAAATGGCAGTGGTACGCTTTGAAACTAAAACATTTTCGATGTGTTTTAGTAGTTCAAAAGCATACTACCACCATTTTCTCAGCACTGATGTGCATTTCACTATTTATGCAAATGTATGCAACACAACGTAGGGTGCTTTTAAAAACACCCGGTGTTGTGCGGCATGCATGTGTGTATACAGTATAAGTGCCTAAATTTAGTTACTTATGTCTGAAAACATTATTGACATGCACAGAGTTACACAGCAAGAGTTCATGACAGAGCTGGTAACAGAACCCAGATTTTGAGGCTCCCTGTCCTGTGCCTTAACCACAAGACCATATTTCCTCCTTGTAAATCGCTAGTTTATACAATACGTGCTAAGTGAAGCTCGTTTTTCATTCCATGATTGTGCTCTGGGGTTGCATTTGGCATCATCTCTGCCAGCACAAAACTCTTTGGCTTCCTCTCCCAGCACCCTGACAATGGAATGTTTTTTGGAGGGCTCTTGTTCAACCCGTAGGCCTACATGGCCATTAGAGTGGTACATACGCAGCTATATATGCAATTTTGGCGGACACAGTTGGGAAGGGTTTTGCCTCATTCCTCCATTTCTATGAGGCAGCTGCACGAATAGCTCTCTGCTCCCCATTTATTCAAACACAAAAGAATCAGGCGAGATGTGCCAGCTGGCACATGGTTTGAAGGATATGCCAACTCATCTTCATCACCTTCATTGACTTCTGAAATTCCCCAATCTGGTGCCAAATGACTTCTTCTATGGAACCATGTTCAAATAAACAGTGTCAGGCACTTTGCAGTAGAAATAAGAACACGTGGCTATTTAGGCATCCAGTTACAGGGGGAGTTCGGTGGTAGAACTACAAAATAGGTCTCCAGCCATCAGAGACTCTTACTTTCCCTGGTGCATTTCAGTTGACACTGGTTTTCCTGCACACAAAACATGAAACCTCTTACCTTTCATAGAGAATGCCACTAATGGGAGGCAGCCAGTACACTGTGAGGGAGCCTTGATCCTGACCAATGACCATTGGAGGCATGGGGATTGGAGTGGGCTTTCTGCTCTGGCTCCATTGCTGATACACGAGATCCAAATAGCAGTGCATTCGAGCCACCTGGTTTGGGGTGAAGCTGTCAGTGCAGTCATCATCTGGAAGAAAAGAGAAAAGGTTAAGATAGTGTGGGGAGGAACTTGTTTGTGAAATGTGTTGAGATCCTCAGGTGACAAGTATTATCGTAACCTTTGCTATTAAGTGCAACCCTGCTATAACAGTCTTCTGAAAGACCAGAGAAGGATGGCTAGAGAGAATCCCAGTGGCTTGCTCTACAGGACTCCTCTCTTGCTATTTCTCAAATCGGCCACAAGATGGCACTATTTCGGCAGCCGCTGGCCTAGCAAATCCCTTAGCAGCGCATGGTTGTTTACAAGGGTGCTCCTTAAGTCACACTGCATTAGAGCCCAGGCGACAGTGTAATAACAGGAGCTTACTAAACACCAAGGAGTTGTTTTGGGGGAATAAAGAAAAAGGAAAGAAAGAAAATCAGTCGTTCAGATCAGACCTTGATGCATGTAACAGAGGCATCATGATTGCCACAGTGCAGGACCTGCCTTCCAGACATCTCAAAGGCCCCCTCCTTTGAGTACAGAGTGGGAGCAGAGAGACAAAGCCACAGCTGATGGAGCGGCTGCAGTGGGGCTAAGCCCTTTCACACCAGCTGAGCCTACAGTCCACGGCCTCATCGAGAGCATGACCCTGCCAGGACCCACCCCTCAGGGTAGCTGAGGAACATCAGAAGCTATCCTGTCCACTGCACAGCAATGTGGGTGGTGTGTAGGGGTACTACCCCTTTTTGACTGTCTGGTACCTTAGACCAGATTACTGTCAGTTGGGCACATGCCTAACCACTGACCAGGGTATAACACAGCCAGTCCTGCAATTGGCCACCTGTCAAAGTAATGACACCTGTGCCTCATATCTTCTCAGTCTGGTTTGGCAGTATTTAAAGAACAAATCCTGAATCAATGGGAGCAAGAGCTAGCCTTGGACTTTAAAAAACTGAAAAACTAAAACAGTTCTCTGGAGACAGGAAATGTTGGCCAAGATTTTCCCTTTATTCTTCCTCCAATGTGCCTGCTCACGTAAATAGGAATTGCTGTGCTGAGGTCAGAAGAGATACACTTACTCACATCAGCAGAGGATCTGGCCCTTGGTTATTATTAGAATTGCACAAGTACCTAGACGTGGCACCTGAGGTCAGGGTCTCTGTGCCAGGTGCTGTGAACACATCTGGTGGCTGTCTAGTCCTTGCCCCAAGGAACATACAGTCTACAGCACTAGTCTAGATGAGTGACACAGAGTCGGTCCACAGGCCAGATTCAGCATGCAGGGTCAGTCTACAGGCCCAACCCAGCACCTGGGGTCAGTCCAAGGGCGTAATCTGGCATGCAGGGTCACGGTTCTCTCGAGTCTGGAAATGTAGTGGTAGGATGAGTGGGAGCAGCATTAATCACTGTGGTGCCAGGAGCTGTGGCAATGAAAGCTACCCCCACTTACCACGCCACCACATTTCCACACCCTCTGGAAAGCCTGTGGGTCAGATGACACAGTTCCCTGGGCACCCTCTGACCTATGGACCATGCTTTAGCCACCTCTGATCTACACAGACAGAAGCAGGAGAAAAGAAGTGTTGTTGCCACACCTATCTGTGCAACCAGCCTTGACAGCAGGAAAGATGGGCTCAATTCTTAACTACTGGAAGCAGCTCGAGAAAAGGAGCTGCCATCATTTTCTGGAAACCTCAGAAGAATTAGACATTGTGTTTTCATGGCATGAGCCTCAGGGAAAAAGAAGGAGAGTTGATGTAGTAAGACAATAGTGCATGGATGCTCAGTATATCCAGAATCCCTTGTATCATCATCTTTGCGCAGTTACAACTCCAGTGGTCTCAGCTGAGTCCCAAGGACTGAATTCTATTGCACTTACCCAAGTATTACACCACTGCATCACCACTGTATGTCAGCAGAATAATTCCTGATAGAGGCTGAGGTTAAAGAAGCATCATCCTCAAGGGTCTGGCCTCCTTGTTAGCAGGGGTGGCCTGATTTCCAGATGTGCTGATTGCTCACACTTCCAATGGAAATCATTGATGTGTGACAGTGCACCACATTTCTGGAAACCAAGTCCCTTAGGTTCATTCCTTTAACCCTTATGCAGCATGTAAGATATTTATTATGGTGCATTTACAGATGGTTTAAAGATGGGTTTGAATGCCTCAAATTAAGGATGTTGGTTTCAGGCCACTTCCAGCAGTCTACAGAAAGTCACACAAGAATAGGGAAAAACACCCCACAGATGTCAACAAGGAATTGCCAACACACTCTAGGCCAGATCTTTAGCTGGCATAAATGGCATAGGCCCAGTGCTGATCTTATGCCAGATGAGATTCTAGTCTAGATACCCAGAGGGGCCAATGACCAGAAAGAAATAAGCAAGGAATGAAAGGACCACCCAGACTGATGGGAATGAAACATGTGCTGAGTTTCTAGAAAAAGCTGCATCTATTGACTTCTGTTACCTGTGTAGCTCATATAGTTGTTGAATGGGGTTCCAGAGAAATAAGCTTGGCCACAGGTGTCATTGCTAGGCTCTGGATCATGGCAGAGTTTACTTTTCGGGGTAGGGGCTGTGTCAGCGCAGAGATCTCCTGTCTCCATGGAAGGTGCAATTTCCCTGCAGGGATCATCACAAGATTCCCTCTCACTCACTCCTTTAAAGACGTGGTAGAGCCCCAGAACATGGCCCACTTCATGGACCATGGTGTTGGTATGGCCAGGCATGCCATAATAAAATGGATTGAGGACCACGCCACCTGGAATTACAAGCACAGTCAGTATCATTAAGAGACAGGCAAGAAGCAGCAGTTACCACTAACCTGTAATTGTCTTTTTCTTCCTGGTCACAAACAAGGCTGACTTCCGGGGAAGCTGTAGGAACTCAGCACCTTGTGAAAGTTGATCACCTCACAGGATTATGTCCTTTTTTATCTGACCTAACACCTAGGTCATTAGGTCATCTCAGCTCTGCTCTTTTTTCATGTCTCTTCTCAGATAAAACTCTCAGCCATGTACATCCTTAAATATATTTCTGACCTGGCATATCAATTTGAGATTTGCAATGGTAATGCCTTGACAGCTTCTGCCTCCCATCGGCTCCTCCACCCCCAGATCACTGCTCTGACGCATCAATCAGCCTGCGAATGACAGAGCTACTGGTGGTGGTGGGGGGGGGGGGGGGGGGGGGGTTCCCCCTCCCTGGCTGCTCCTGGGGTCCCTGGAAATGATGCCACCCCTGCATGCCCAGCTCTAGGTCCTACAACTGAAGTGGGGGGAGGGCAGTGGGACAGGGAACTGCCAGGCATCTCCCAGGCCCAGTGGGGGCTGGATCTAGGTGTGTGGTGGCATGGACTGCAGAGACCCTGGAAGCAGACAAGAAGGAGGAACCCCCCCTGTTTCTGCCACTGCCACTGCCCTTGGGGTGACTGGGGTGGCAAGGCAGTGATCTGGAGGTGAAGAGGCTGCCTGTGGGGTGGAGGGGGGATCCAGGGGCTGATGGGCGGCAGCAGGGTGATTTGGAGGGTGGAAGGATAACCCTCCCCTACTCCTTCCTGTCCTATACTGTGGCTAGAAAGCTGGCAAGCATGGCAGGCATGGAGCAGGCTTGCAGCCCCTGGCCACACCCCTGCTTGCCAGCCCTCTAGCAATGGGTCTGGGCAGTGCACATTAGGCTATAACCCCGAATGTGTGGCTGATCACTAGCACTGGTTAACCTTAACACAGAATAACATTCTTTAAAATGAGCACCTGCTGCCTCTAACAGGTAATCTCACCCCTAGCAGCTAAGGACTACATTCAAAATTGGGCATAAAGTAATGCAGATTAAAACCCAAAAAGAGATGGGTCTACTAACTACCACACTGAATTTGACTTTAAATGTATTATTCATTTTAGAGCAGGGATTCAAAAGCACCTAGCAGAAGGCAATCCAATAAGTCAATGACGCCACGTGCTCCTCACTCATTCACAAGCTTCTGAACCCTCCCTCCCTCCCCCCTTTGTTTTCAGTGGTGTTTTAGTGTTGATGAAGCTGCCAGATTGAATGCACTGGAGCCTTCTGTTCATAGCTACTACAGTGCAAGCCTACCCATACTACCTCAACCTAGTATCCTCGTTCTTAATTACAGAACTCAGGAAAAGGCTGTTTATCTTCACCCAAGCCCATTCAATCCCTAGTCTCTTTGCCAGGACAATCAGCAAAGCTGTAAATTGGGTGGGGATTTACAGGGACATGTCGACACCTACTGAATGGAAAGCAAAACTGAGACTCACCAACTCACTCTTCATAGGTTACCGAGTAGCCTTTCCCAGTGGCAACAATGATGTGATTGACACCAAAATGAATGGGTCCAAGTCAAGCCTCCTAAGGCATTCCCTGCCTTAAAGAATGTGTGTTTTCCTTTCCTAAAAACTGCACGTGGATTTAATGCTTACACAAGTGAGGGGCTATTAGCATGGATCAGAGCCAAACATAGCATAGCATTCCCTATGCACCCTCCCAATGCATTGCAGTCCTGACCCTGAGCGCCCTCCCTGTTCTTACAGCTCTGCGTCTGTGCTATATTGGATGGAAATATTTTCCATTGGGAACATTTTTTATGTAAAGTTGCTTTTTTTCCATCTAAATTAAGAAAATTTCTGGCAGAAGTTTTCATTTCTTCTGAAATTTTAAAGTTTTTTGACAGAAAAATTATAAAGAACAACAAAGTGGGGGGTTCCCTCCTCTTCCCCTTCCTTTTGTCCTCTCTCTTCTTTTTTCCATTATGCTACTGGAAAAGGGAGAAAAAACAAGGGAGAATTCAAAGATGTTGGGTCAGCAAGGCAGCCTAACAGGATAAATCATTGCAGCTGAGAGACAGCAGTAGTAGGTATCCTCAGGTTAGTGTTAATTTAGCTAGCCCAGATGCTAATGCAGTGAGATATGGGGACTATACAAGCTCACCCAGAACCCTCAAGCAGCGAGCATTTGCTGAAGCTTGCTCTGTCCTGTACTCACTTCTGTTGATACTCTTGCTAGCTACATCCAACCGTTGTGCAATCATGCCTCCAAATGCAATGCAGGCATAGCCTCAGACAGGTTTGATTGAACTCTAGTCTCTGGACCAACTTGCTACACTACTGAACTACCTCATGTCTCTTCCCTTTGCTCACACCTAGAAAGTCTAGGATATCCTTTCTAAGGGACAGTTTCGTTCTGATCGTATTGTTCTTGGGTTTACACCAGTATGACTGGCTGCACCAAAGAAGCTACACCAGATGTGCAGTAGGGTGGGACTGAGATCAGGCATGAAGAGGTAAATTCTACCCTGATGTATGTCCTGAGATGGTACTTTAGCAACGGCAGGATTTGGTCTAGAGGCCCTGGATTTGCTATCTATTACACCAGAATAAATCCCAGGCGACTCCACTGAAGATGCTCTGGGCTTACAATCGTTCTATGGAGCACTGGTTCTATAGCACTTTTTCACGCACAGCCACCTCCCTCCCATATCTGCTCTCACTTTACAAGTGGTCTGTAGCCCACTAGCTGGAAGCCATTGTTATATAGACTGTGGGCTCCTGAGATAAATTTGGTAATTTGTAAAACATCAGTGCACATATGACACTGCAAAATCAAAGCACTGCATTGCCATTAACCAATTAGGTGAGACCGTTCGGGAGCTTAAACACTTCTTGATTGTGCTTCCTGCTGTTTTTCCCAGTATGGCATAGCATCCTGGTTCATGGGGGCCCTACAGCCTCTGGTGCAAAGAGGTGATAAAGTGACAGAGGGCCCCCAGTGAATACGCACCTAGACGAGAGGGTCCCAAGGTCCCAAACACACACATTTGCTGACATCTCCATGGGAGTCACAAGAACAGGGGGATATTCAGGGCATGGTGCAGGGTAGGCCAGTGAGACTGACAGGCTTTACAGGTTCTAGTTCTTGTTTTATCCACCGTGTTCTTTATGCTCTTTTTAAATACAAGGATGTAACTAAACGTAGTTTCCCTATTTCCTCAGAGTGGGGTGTTTGCACAACTTGGCTATCAGTTGGCTGCCACAAGCCCCAGGGATGTGACAGCATCTGGATTGCAAGCTAAAGCTGCCTTCAGCACTGCCCAAACAAGTGCCAGGGGAACGAACTAACCTTCCACAGTGCCACAATTTGGGCAGAAGTTTCCTAACTCAGTCCCTGCACAGGTTCCTGCACTGCCACATGGTTGACTCACAGCTGCGTTCTATGCCAAACCAATACAAGCTGCACAGTTTTACCTTTTACCCATTTTCTCATCCAGCTGCACCTGAAAAGCAGTGTAGGCCACCCACTTACAAACCTGAAGCATCCAACAAAACTGCACACCAGGGCTGAGTTTGGCTCATCCAGGTTGCCAAGAAGAGAGACCTTCTTTCCCCTGCCAGGAAGGGCAAGGGTGAGTGAGCAAGGGGGCACTCACTCAAAGGAAACCCTAGCAAATCAACAGAAAACTTTTTCACATTTTAATCAAAACAAAGTACAAGAGGGGGAAAAAAAGCCAGTCTCCAGCCAAACCCAAGTCTGAGCGAGGCAGGAGGCTCCCTGCCCAAGGGCTGAGAGGAGGAATGCGCATGCAGAAAGAAAATAATGCTCATAAATACATGAATGGGATGTTAAGAACCGGCATTAAACCTGCAGCACTGACCGCGAAGAACAGCAAATCAATCCATTCAGGTCTGATCGCTCGGGGCACCAGGGGCCCTGAAATCTAATATTCCCACCTTCACACAGAAATCTGAAACTTTCCACTCCAGGGGA